GAGATGACCAAATATACACAAACTGTGTTGTTTTCATTGAGGAGAACTTACACGAGATGACCAAATATACACAAACTGTGTTGTTTTCATCGAGGAGAACTTACATGAGATGACCAAATATACATGAACTGTGTTGTTTTCATTGAGGAGAACTTACACGAGATGACCAAATATACACGAACTGTGCTGTTTTCGTGAAATACTAAAAAGATATAGATATTGCTTCTACATATATTGTTGCTGTAATATCATCAATTTTTGGAAAACATGTTCATGAAACATTTACTTAGGTTAAATTTTCAGAATAAAAATTAATCTGTATTTGCCCGTCATATGATGGGCATTCAGTTAGTAAATATATAATTATGCAAACATTAACACAATTATCTTAGTGTTCAGCTAATTTAAAACTTGAACCAGGTTTTTTGTTTCATCCTGGGCCATATTATAAATGTTTAGTGGTAGTTACTTTACTTTCATTTGCAACATAATTACATTATAGAAATTTCTTTTAATATATATGTATATATATATATATAGTTTCTAACAAAAAGATTTAACACATAACACTATCATATGTTTTATTCCAAACCTGAAACATATACAAAGTCACCATGTAAACAATTAACAGTGTACTTGAAGTACTGTCATTGAAACATATAAACACTGTCACCAAGTTCTTCAAGTACACTGATAGTTGTTTACATGGTGACAGTGTTTATATGTTTCACTGACAGTACTTCAAGTACACTGATAGTTGTTTCAAATAAATATTTGTGAAGAGGAAATTATTCCTACAATACAGGCAGAAAAAAAAATGTCATGAACTTAACGTTGATGGTTATATAAATCATAAACACAGGCTGGAGGTCATGCACACTGGGAACTTGGGTTGGTTGTTGTGTACATGGAGAATGTGGGCTGGTGGTTGCATACACAGAGAATGTTGGTTGACAGTTGTGTGCTTGGAAAATGTGGGTTGGTGGCTGTTTATGTGATGAATTTAAAATGATATTTGTTTACATGGTGACAGTGTTTATATGTTTCAATGACAGTACTTCACGTACACTGATAGCTGTTTACATGGTGACAGTGTTTATATGTTTCAATAACAGTACTTCAAGTACACTGTTAGTTGTTTACATGGTGATAGTGGTTATATGTTTCACTGACAATACTTCAAGTACACTGATAGTTGTTTACATGGTGACAGTGGTTATATGTTTCACTGACAATACTTCAAGTACACTGATAGTTGTTTACATGGTGACAGTGTTTATATGTTTCACTGACAGTACTTCAAGTACACTGATAGTTGTTTACATGGTGACAGTGTTTATATGTTTCACTGACAGTATTTTATGGCTGAAGAAATAATAACCATTAAATTTCACTACTAATATCCTGCCTGAAGAAAGCTATTATAAACTTTACTTCATCTTCAATGAAGGAACTGATGACGAACTCTGAGAAAACACAAGTCACTATGGAAGGGAACAACAAGGAAAACCTGGAGAAACTGGTATCCAATGTAATGTACTGGAACTCTAGAAAATTCCCAACTCCTGGCCGTCGTAATCTGTACCTCGACACAGTTGTTATGTAAGTATAGAATTTTAAATACAGTTTTAATTTTAAAAAATTTTTACAATAACGTACAAAAGAGTATACTTTTACAAAAAATGTGTTTGCTTAAATAAAATGGAAGAAAGTATTTTCTTCACAAAGGTAAGGAAATGTGTCCGACTTGTTTTTTGGCTGGTTTATTTACAACTATTTCTGTTTCGGGATGAGCTCGTGGAAATCTGGGATTTATTCACTGAAGTACTATTATTCAGCCGATTTGGAAATGGATAAAAAGTTTAACAACAGTTTATTATTGTAATCTAATGTAATTTTGATGATTTAATTATTATATATTTTTGTTTAACTTGCAAATATTGTATGTTTGAAGCTAACTTTTTTTTTGACAATTTCAATTCTATTTATGAATTCAAAAACAAGTTTTAAATTTACTGTCAAAAGTTTGATAGGATTAGGTTTGTGTTATATATTTATATATCTTCAAGTTTATTGAAACATCCAGGTGTTCTAATGGAAAACCCCAGAAAGTTCCAGAAGTCAAGAGTTACGTGATGGTCATGCAACCAGAAGAACCCAGCATTGGTATCAATGGCACCTCTAACTTGGCTCGGGAGTATGAAGCTTTTAAAGAAGGCATTGAACTCTTCAACACAATATCCCTGACAGTCAACCAAAATCACGAGGAGGAGTTCTCTGACGTCGTTGTTACTACCGATGATAAAGTGGATAAGTGTTCCGTGCAGGTTTATCCACCTCTAAATCCAGATCACGAGTACTTTCGTCTACCACAAAATCTGATGAAGCATCTAAGGGTTCATCACCGAGATCATAAGGAAGGATTAGTTATTTATGGTGAATGTTATGTTTAATAATTACTATTGGACAATGGGAAAAGTTTCAAGTTGTTACTTTTATACTTAACAGAATTGTAAATTACTTAAACGTTTGTAATTTAACTCTCTCTGGACCAAAAACATGTGCTTCATTTGGATGATGAGAGTGAATCCTGTTATCTTTCTTTTTCAGTTTTTTTATTTAGTTTGAAATATTTTCTGTTGAAGATGAATTTGGTTTGATCCTCACATGAGTAATTGGTTTTACCTTTCTGTTCAACAGCTTTGTATCTGTTAACTTTACTAACCTTCATGCTGCTGTCTTTACAGGGGCAGACAAAATTCACAATTATGAGCTGATTCTACGACAGATCCTATATTTCAATCGAAAACCAGCCTACTACCTAAATCGGGCTTTTAAACTGGTTTGCTCTGAACTGAATGATCGTTTTGTCAGTAACGAATACATGCAAACGGTAAGATATGTATTTCTAGTGAATATTTTTGCACTTTTGTTTCCTCAAGAAATATTTCAAATTTATTCAAAAACTACTGAATGGAGGTTATTCCATTGATCTTAACCAGTATGTTCCTATCTTGAATAATAAACTGTCTACACTGATTAAATTATAAGTAAACAAACTTAAGTTCCAGAATAAAACTTTATTTAAGAAATGAATGTTCTGGTTAACCTTCTTCAGTATATAGCACTTTACAATAACAAATTACAATAGTTGATTAGTCCTAGTATTAGCACTTTACAATAACAAACTACAA